CTGTCACCCGCCTAATAAATGTGCCGTAGAAGAGGAGCTGGCTTCAACTTTCCGCTCTCTGGACATGACAGTAAAGAGAGGGGATGATGGCTCGGTTCAAAGGACTGATCAGTTCACCAGCTTTGATAGTTGGGTACCCCTTAGTAGTGAAAGAAATCTCATTCACTCGTTGCTTTCCAGAATTCGTGAAATATATTTGGAAGACTCATGGGTCTCAAAATTGGAACTCTTAAAACAGCATTTTCGAATAGCCGATACCCAGAAAGATTTATTGATAAGGATCTGGAAAACGAATCACCCCTCATCCGCTCATGGCTCCTAAGAAAATTCTGATCATGAATCTGGAATTCAAAGGAGACACCACAACCAAAGTGCTGAAAAACCGACCATCAAGTTGCATCAATAGTAGCTTTCATGCTACTAGACTGAGATCGAGTTTTTCCAGCCGCCATCCGGCTTGCCAATACATGGAGGATGTGCTGTAACTTGTATCCACATCTATGCGTATCAACACATTCAGGTGATCTTGTGGAGTTGACTACGTTGTGCTTTGTAAGCGGGCCCTCTGTAAATGTATTGCCAAATTTCACTCGGTTCGACTTAGTAAAGGCGAGTTAAGAAAAACAACTTCATCCACACGTGAACATCTAGTTGAGTTACGTCATTCAGTGCCTCGAGATTCACCCTTTGAAGTAATTTACGAAGTAAAATCGGACTATTCCAACGGTCCACGTTTCCACCACTTTTGCATATTTGAAGCATTAGCTATACATAAATAGAGACCGAAACTTTGCATTCAGAGACGTTTTGTGATGCCACTCTCTCTACCTTGGTCCTAACAATTCATTTTGGTCACTTTTTCAATCTCATTTCATTTCGCTTTGGTATACTTCTCTTTCAGTGTCATCATCGTTATCACTTATTTTCACTTCATTGACAACATTTGACTCATATCTCATTATTTAATACCAATTCGTTCCTTATTCATTGACCCATTTTGCGTGCTGCAGTTAAACTGTCATCAGTTTACATTTGTTTGACAGCACTTGTCCCTTATCTCACCACCTAATATCACTTCATTCCTACTTATTCGGTGACCCATTTTCTATTTCTTCCACTTGAACAGATTTCACTACCAACACCAATTGGTGTATTCTGCATAGTGACCGAGAAGCCTTTTAGTGAAGTTACGTGTCATTTTACTGTGGTATTTATAAATACGACTGTAGAGTTTGATAATGAAGTCGTTGCAAAGAAATATGCCTTTTTCACTGATACATGCTATGTTCTTATTCTAATACAGGCTTTTGTGGATGCTTGAGGGAGATCGCAGTGAGCTACGAAAGTAGCCTAGACATTTGTGGACCACATGTTATTGTTTTTCAACTCAACTGATGGAAGTCGTATGTCAGACGTGACCTGCACAGGTTGTTTGGATTCACTGTCATTTTCCGATTCCATAAGTTACTTGAGGCTACGCTTAGAATACCCATTTTGATTTACAGAAGATCAACAGATTTACATGAATAAAAACAATACTTGGCGCCAAATGTAGGGAGGGCCAGAATCAGGTAGGCGATTTCGTTCGATCGGACACACCAATAGATGTGTAGTGGACTCAGAAAATGTCAAGCAGACCAAATTATGAAGTTAATCATGTTTAAGTAAAATAGATACAATGACACCCAAATACGATAATTCTCGCATAAGAATGCAGAACGGCAATGCCACTGCAATGGATGATGATTGGTCGCTTGAATGCTTTCTTTTCAGTGTTTTCCATCACAATTTCAGCATACTGCAATGTGAGTTCAGGAGGTGATGCTTATTAGCGCTTCAGAGTCGACGTTAGTTGGCTTGATTGTCGTGATATTTGGAAGTAGGACCTAGGGCCCTGTAAAATACGTGGACAATCAACCAGTATCCACGTCAGACAGCGGTTCATGAACGCAGAAGCTGGAGTAGATAGAAGCATTTATATTTTCAGGTTTACAGAACAGAAATGCAATGATAACACTACAGACAACAAATTCCAACTTCAAGTTGCACAGGCAAACAAAATGCGTTTTTAAAATTTGCCAACTATGATTAAGAGGAAACATTTTTAACGTAAATGGTTTATATATAGTTTAATGTGTCATAAACAATCTTCATTTTCATACACCTCCCCTCACGACTAAGTTCTTCATGATGGCTTAGAACAGCGGTCAAATTTATGTCGAATATTTTCAATCCTTACCCTAACTGAGAAACATGTGTTGCCGGAGGTGACTGTGATGTTTTTGAGGTTTAGGTGGACTATCACTTTGGATAAGAGTAGTCTATCCTCAACAATGGGAACTTCTGTGTATGGATGGCCCATTTTCATATGCAATAAATTGAGCATATTTTGTGGGCATTATCATCTAAATCACACACTGAATTAGATGACTACAACACGTAAAAGCCAGGGTGCAGTCTGATGTTTGGGTAGGAGTTATTGAAATATCGAATAAAACATACTGGAGTTAAATGACGGTTGTTAGATTTCACTCCAGGGTAAAAGCTGATTAAGTCATCCTGGACTTCATCAAAGCCCCACACAGTGCCAAGTGAGGACTGCTGTGGGCAGTTTTTAAGCCTTTAGGAAATATGTTGGGCTTGTCGTATTTCACTACTTTAGAGATATCTTTTATGCATAAGCCAAAAAGTGGACTCAGAAGTCAGAAAAACTCCAGTGTCCTTTTCCATCATTATCTCTTGAAACATACGGCAGTAGAATCTCTGACGTACATCTCATTTTATCAATATGAGTTAATTAGACTGCCCTTGAAAACAACGCGAATAGATAAAATGCGCGCACAAAAGGCAGGAAATATTCATTTTCACAAAAAACGCTATAATCTGTGGTAAGCGCAGTGACACATGGGGGTAACTTTTAACATCGTTCCAGAAAACGCCGATGTTTTCTTTCAAAGAGAGCACCCAGTTTCTTTGGCGGTACTTCAAGCACTGAAACATTCATCACTGACCCCTCTAACACCATCTAAAGCACTATGAAACCCCCCAAAGAACAGAAGTGGGCCATCTTGTCACCCATCTCCAAGGGAGGAGACAGAAAAAACCCTGACAACTACAGACCAACCGCTCTATTCCCTATAGTGCCGAAAGTGCTAGGAAGTCTGGTGGCCAGCACCATCTGAGGATTCCCCAATCGAGAAAACACTTTCCGTACTGCTCAGCATGGATTTCAAAGTGGTGGCTCATGTGCCACCAACTTACTAACTTACTGGGATGGCTGGGAACTCAGCTGGGACAACAGAAGACCGATGCATGTTGCTTTTCTCGACCTAGCCAAAGCATTTGACAGTGCCCCATCCACAATCCTGCTTCCCAAGATCATGTCAGCTGACATGAGTGGACCCCTACTCTCCTGGTTCAAGGAGTACCTAGAAGGGAGGTAGTTCCGCACCAATGTAAACGGAATAAGGTCCGCGTGGACACCACCGAGGTCAAAAGTATCCCGAGGAGGAATCCTAGGACTACTTCCGTTCCTCCCGTTTGTCAATGATCTACCGCACAAAATATTCTGATCCGTCCTCCTCTTCGCTGACAACATTGGAATTTAGACGTTATTAAACAAAGGAGTTGACTGCACAGCACTGCAAAGTGGCTTGCAACAACTTGGACTGTGGTCGTCGGAAAATGGCTTGAGACTCAACCAGGAAAAGTGCAAACGAAATGCACACCAGTGAATATGAAGCAAGTACGGCCGACTTCAGGTACATATTGAGCAACCGTGCTATCACCGGTGTTCACGGGACTAAACTTCCCCGACACCTTGAACACGAGCTCGAACTAAAAATATATAACGAACAGAGGGAACGCCATTTTGCACTTTCTGCAAAGACAGGTTGAGGTCCTCATCCCCAAACTCTTCCTCAACGTTTTCAAATCTCACGTAAGGCTGTACCCAGTGGTCTTCAATACAGTGGCCCCCCACACCAAAGAGAGACTTTAGTACCCTTGAAAGAAAATAACAAGAACTGCAACAAAATCAGTTGTGGAGAAAGGGAGGAAGGCATATTCTGGAAGACTAAAATACCTAAAAACCTTTTCTTTTTGGGTTATCACAGGAAGGGGGGTGACCTCTTGATAGCTTACAAGATCTCCCACGCAAACAAATTAACCTTGCCTACAACACAGTGGCGGCCACGAGGAAACTCCATTAGGATGGTACATCAGAGAGCCAATACCACGCTCAGGTCCAACTTTTTCTCTCTGGGAGTATGTTCCTTATGGAATGCCCTACTGCGGGATATTGTCACAGCCCCCCACCCGGTTGATTCATTCAAGAGACGGTTGGGCAGTCATGTCACCCCGCATAGTCTGCCACGGACGTACTCAGGGAGACACCAACCTCACTAGCCCACCCTCACCTCACTTCTACCTACCGCTCACTATCTCCTTCAGTACATCTACCTTATCTACCAATTCCCGTCTAGAAAGTAGACCTACGCCATCTACTTTTACCTTTCGGGCAACTCCGACATACTTTTTCTTCCCTTTCCCTTCCCTTATTGCACCCCTTTTTCCGTCTCTTTTTCATTTCTTCTTCTGCTTTTGCATTCTTTATCACTACCTTACTATTCTCATTCAAGTGTCTGAGCAGACAAGATTCACGACAGTCCCCTAACCTTTCCAGCAAGCCGCAGCTCCCCAATCACTCCACAAACTCCAGCTTACCAACCCACATAGCATCCACCCCAACAGAACTAAAAGCAGGAAAGCAGACGGGATTTCTCTTCCACTGAAGGAGTGAACCGAACAACTGAAACCAAGACCTAAGAACTAGATGCGAGAGATAAAAACTATCAGTTTTCTACGCTCACACTATCAGTATGGGATATTGAATGAAGCAGTTGAGTACCATACTGGAATACCTACCTTTTAGCTTTTAAAGTACCGAAAAATTATGTAGGGTCGACAACAAAAGCTTGTACGTTCAATAGTGTATGTCAGTCCAACCTCAGACTTCCCGCGTAATTTACAGGTTTGCAATTGTAGCGTATTGGCTAGCACGTAAAACCTAGTGGTCATAAGGTTTCCTGGTAATTTTCAGGGTTATTTATTTAGTTTCAACTCAGTTTGCTTATACTGCATATTTCCGCACTCAGCACTATTCAGGAAACACTTCATCGGAATGTCATCGGTGCTGGAACAGCTGGTCGAGATGGGCTTTACTCAGGCTAAAGCGTTTGTTTGGTTTGTTTACATAATCAGTTCGTTGTAGGGAAAAAGCGATTAGGTTCTCCGGTAATAAAGGATTAGAAGAGGCCATGGAGTGGTGCGTTTTTGAAATTGAATGAGTTCGGTCTTAACTATTTTTTCAGGATTGTGGAGAACGATAGTGGTGATGAAGAAGAAGGTAGACCTTGGCTAACTTGTCGTGTATTAAATTTTATAAGAGCATAACGGGAAAGTTAGAATAGAAGAAACGGTCTCAACATTATTGTCGTACAAATGTGAAGAGTAACTTGTTGCTATTCTGTAATGTTATTGTAGTTGCAAAAAGTGTCTCAAAAACGATGAAGAAGTTCAGATGCACAGTGCTCGCACGGGGCACTGCAATTATGCAGAATGTCCAGACTCAGCCAAATCTCTGACGGAAGATGAGCGTAAACAACAGATGGAGAAGTTGCAGGTTTGTGGTTTTGCATCTGTTATGATTTTATTGCTTGTATTGTGTTGAGTGCTATCCAGTGAGTACATCTATGCACTTTAAAGCAATATCACGGCAATGTCCGAAGGCTAAATCTAATACAACTAACTTTGGGCATGGGATTAGGTGCGAACCAGCTGCAAAGGCCTTCGGGTGTACTCTGGGATTTCCACTCTGAACATATTGAGAGACACTTCGGTATGTGCAAAATTGCTCTTTAAAATCTCAAAGTTTATGCTTGGTAGCTCCAAGAGTCCTTGAGCATTCCCAAAGCTACCAAAAATTCTGGCGTGCTTACAAAGTGTTTGATGACTGGTTCCAACGTGGATTTGTTACTATTACTCTAGCTAGGTACAGCAGTCTAATTTAGGGCGATGATAACTAATGGTTGCCCTAGGGGTTCGCTCATCATTCTTATGAAGACCTAGTGAGGCTTGACATACCGGGATGGGTGTCAGATTACGCTGTATATCTTCAAGCACTATTTAATTTGGTATCTAGAGTAGCAGAGGATAAAAAAGTGAATAATCCATAGATACGGAAATGACGTTCGTATTGGGATCAAAGTGAATACGTTTCAAAAATAATTGCCCTTCAGAATCCTAAATGAAATATAAATGACCTCATGGTTACTCTGGTAACTTACGACTACTGCGACGGGCCTACCGTTTGTAAATGATTTAGCCAACTTACAACATGATGTAGACTGTAAACTCATATCAGTCAAAGATTCTGAAAAAGTTCAAGATCTAAATATTCAGTGAAAATCTTACATTTTCCCATTTTCTACCTCTGAAATGTTATGTGATATGGCAGGGTCAGTGAACATCGATAGTTTAAGCAGAGTAACTGAGTTGATTGAATAAACTAACTGGTTCATTTGCTCAAGTACTTACATCATCCTTGATGGGCTGCTGATTGACCAAAAGGCTCATGTCACTAACAAATTCAAACCATCTTCAGCGCCAGCAAAATGTCTATTGTCGAGTGGTGATCTGAGCCGTGTTGTCAAGTGTAAGCTGCTCATTCAGGTTTCTTCAGATATTCAAAGTCTGACTGAAAATTCTTTAGGGTGGTTGGGAACTCACCACTTTGATGCAAATGCACTTTCAACATCGAGAAATTATACTAAACTGTATTCTCTTTCCTCACATGTCTTTCTTGTATATTGTAATATCATTTTGTTCGTTTTTATTTCGTCTGTGCTATTGCAAGGAAGTAAAAATCTGTCGCATGGATGACGACGCCTAGCATGACACAGGAGTGTTTACCACATAAGACCCTGGCTCATAGAACAACTCAGTAGGGTGTGATAACTTTCACAACTTTCTTATGCGAGATTCTTCGGTTTGGTTGTCTGTAATACATTTTTAAGATAAAAATACTGTAATCCTTGTTATATTTCAAATTCTGATATCTGATGTGAGAGTTTCATCACGGCCAAAATAATTTCCACCATATTTAATGAACTTTTGGGTTGATGTAATTGATCAGATTTTTGTCATGTCATTTTAAGGTTGAATATAACTGCTTCCAAATGTCGTCAACGACTGGTCTAACATGGATAAATCAACCAATAACCAGTGATTTGGTTATCTAGAATATGCTCAGTACCCGTCAACTTTGAGTTCCTTAAGCTATTTACCTACAATATAGGAATCTTTAATTGAGTGAAATATCAACCAAACTAGAAATAAGCGGCATTATGATGGTTCACTCGAAATGTAGAACCTATTTTTTAGGTGGTAAGACTAGTGGAGGCAGTGCGAAAAACCTTTGGTTTGATAACCAGAATACTGAAACCAGTGATCGTAGACTTAATATTCGTTGAAAACTGGTCACGATACCGGATACATTTGTATAAATTCTAAGAATCACCATTCAATATCTCCTTATTCTTTTCCCGTTGACTGTCGTCTATCGCATTTCTTTGTTTCACCCCTCTAGTTTCATTTTTCTTCGGTTATTCTTAGCTTAGGTTGGGCACATGTTCTAGATTATTTTTTTTGTGAGTAATTATTACTGCTATCGGTAGAAGTATGTTTAATTTCATGTGTTTCAAGTTTTGGAACTAGCTAAGAATTTAAAGTAAATAACTACGCTTAATAGTGATATAAGATTACCAGAAGTAAAATAGGTTTAGAAAAAAGACTGATCGAGCGAAGAAATATATTTCTCTTTCCAATTAGATCTTCACCCTGGGCTCTACGCTAATATATAGTTTTACAATTTAGTCAAATTACCGATTACGTGGTCATGTTTCGGAAAAAATGATATCAATAATCAATAGAGTTACTAAAGTTGGAAATATGAAGCAAGCTATTCTTAGGTAAATGTAGTAACTTTTGATGAGTGTTCAGTCATTCACAATAAGCAATTGCGTAATAATAAGGAAACAAATGAATATTCATAGAAACAAGAAAGGGAGAAGGTGTATAAAGTAAACCTGGAAGTTACAGCATGTTGACGACCACGGTAATGAAAGTGGTCGAACTAACTTCTTTTGGATACAAAGGCTGGGTTTGTAAAGGTGGATTGCAATCACCTCTGCTATGTCAAGTAAGCAAGTGCGTAATCCATGTGGTAAATTAATTGGAATCTGATGAATGATTTTGAAAGCTTTTCTAGTACCAACTCGATGTCCCGTGTCAACTAGGTGTACAAGTATGGAGCTCTTTATTGTGCTAATTTGTCCCTTGCTCAACCAAGATGGGTGGTGCTCAGAAATTCTACAATGGAACTGCCTCATTGTACGCCCAACGTAACTAGCTCCACAGGAGCAGTTGATTAATAAATGGGCATAGAAGCGTCTTTATTTCTTGCACCTAGAATCGGATGGGACATAATTTGGCAGCTAGGGGTGCTTTTTGCAAGACATTTTATGCGTTGTGTGATGATCTCACTGGCAATGTCACTCTTAAATTTCAGCTTCAGAAAGATTTGCTATTTAGGAACTGTTGACGTTCTTGTCTTAACCCTCATAACATTCATATACTTAGTTACAAACTTGTCTGGGTAGCCATTCCTTCTCAGCTTAGCTGGTGAAAATTCGACATCAAAAAACTCCATTCAGTGAATACGCGTGGCCTGATTACTAGCAGATATCTTGGAAAGCACTATCAGATACGAAGCGGGACTGAATAAGTGCTTTGATCATGATTCAGGCATTATCTCCCATGAGATATGACTCAGAAGTTTAAAGGCTTCACAGTATATCTACTGCAACTTGGTCCAGTAGGCTTGAATATAATGATCTAATTTTGTTTTCTTATTTTTTCACTGAGGCATATGGTAAATAGTGTATGTTATTGCTTTAAAAAGCCATTGTCTATCTCGTTTAAGTACGTGATTGCCGTCTAAGAGAATGGTAGTAATTCTTTAAGCGTTCTGAATGACTACGCTTCATATCATTAGAAAATAAGTCTTTTGATCTCCATTTTCATATTTTTCTTAGGATAGGGGTATTGATTTTAAGTCGATCACTTAAAATGTTAACTCATTACAGAACTGAGAGTTATTGTAATAGCATATTGTGTATAACATATTGCATATTGTGCATAACTTCCGTTTTTCTGGCTATTGTGCGTTATTCCGCTAGCGAATTACAGCAGTTCCATTTTGCAAAGGTGATTATCCAAATATATTCAGCTAAATTACACTTTATTAATACTTGCGAAAATTTTATTTGCTAGAGTCGTCGTTACTGTGCGTGTGGTAAGATTTTCACCAATCTGATAGCAGTTTAAAATTGGTACCTGAAATTTCGATTTAAACTGATAGGAACTTTTGCGGATCCGAAAAGTTCAAAGAGAGGAACAAGAGAAACAAGAAGAACTGGAACGTGAAAAACAAAGACGCCTGCAAGGTAGAACAATAGTCTCAGCTAAAGCAAAGTATGAGGAAGATGAAATGCGTCGTCTAGTTGAACAGAAAAAACGGGAGAAAGAGGAAGATCGAGCCTACAGGTAACTACAGTGTGACTGAATTCATTATTTATTCATTTCTTGCGTAATTTTCAATGAATGACTGTTATCGATCAGTCACAAAAACATTTTATTAAGTATTTCGCATGGACTTATAACAGTGATTAAAAATTGTTCATCTTACGCATTTCACTTCTGAAGTCACATATTGCAATTAAAACTGCCACAGTTCTCCCTTCATTGCCAAATGGTTACTAATTAACTATCATTTAGGGTCTTCCAGTTAAGTGAAGACTCTGAAAAGACATATAGTCTTCTGTGCACCTTGAGTGGCAGTTTGATAATGCTTGGGATGCATTTCTTGTCACTGGAATTCAAATTATTGTTCCCGGACTGGTTTTCACTGGTACCCTATCCAACAATACGCAGTGAATAGTTGAGTGCCTCGGCCACTTAACTTACCTGAGAAGTCGGATCAGCCTTGGTGGCTCAGTAGCCGACGAGATCTCTGCACGGATACAAAAAGCACGATTGAATTCCACTGACTTACGCCTACTGTAGCACGGCTGCGACATCCGACCGTCAATTAAGGGTCGAGTGTACTGCGCTGTGGTTCGCTCTGTTATACTTTACGGCTATGAAACATGGCCATTATAGGTAGAGGTTGTGAACATTCACCGACTGAGGTGACTGTGGCGTGTGAAGCATGTCTAATCACTGTCTGCCCTGCCACACAATGTAAACTGAAGTAAGTGTAGGGTGGAAAAAGGTTACGGCTGGCCAAACTAAAACATGGCATCAGTGCATGAAGTCTTTGACTGTTGGTTTAAGCCGTGCAGGGGAGTGTAGATATCCTGGTAGAAACGTATGTGACAACAGAAACCAGTGGTTGGAGATTACAGGACATGGCTTAGAATCGATATCAGTGGCGCAGATGCATTCACATTCTACTCATCCCAATTGTCATGCTGAATTTTAGTATCGTATCATTCCTCCTTGCTCTCTTTTGACGACTTTCTACCACTTATAACTGCTTTCTGAATCTCAGTCGATGAATGTTCACAACCTCGTCAACTGACTTTCCTTTTCTTGCCAAAACTCTGCACGTCACTTCTGCATTGTTGACGTGGTAGCACTACGAGATACAGCCTTTGCTACGAAGGCAACGTTGATCGAACACCTGAAGCCTCTTCACGTCCTCTACCTGGGACTACTTTCAGCAAAATATCTGCCACAAAACCTCTTGATCGACAAGGTCGTATGCTGCACTCAAGTCAAGAAATACAGCTAATTTCGGGCGCCGGTGAGTGTGTCTGTTTCAGAACCTGGAGGAGGGTGAACATCCGGACGATACACCCACACTAAAGTTTACTGTTTTCCAGATTACTTAGATGCCTTATGATTATAGAACCTAGGATCTTGAACACTATACCAATCAGGCTGACTCCCCTGTGGTGATCATAGGACGATTTCTATCTTTCTTGAAGGCTGGGATAGTTAGTGACTGAAATCACTTAGAGTGGATCATATCTGATTCCCATACGCTAGCTAGCACTTCACCAATAACATGCAACGACTGTCTATTACTGGCCTTTCTCGTTTCAGATTATTTATAGTTTTCTTGACTTCTGCATTGTGCACTCTCTTCATACAAGCAAATTTCTCAGTTTCAAGTAAATTATATGGTCTGGAATGTGTTGGTTTGAAAGTGAAAAAAATACCTATCGGTAAGATGTAAAGACTTTCACACTGCATGGTGAGTAAACTAGTTAAAGGATACTGATTATGAACCAAAGACCGAGGTGGTTAGTGCTGACATAAGATCTGATGGTTTTATCTCTGAGAAAAGCGGCATCATGGAGTGTTACAGGATTTTCGGAAACTAAGTCGAAACAAGTGAATCTCTCTTCGGCACTACAGTGAGTAATGATCACTTTCAGTGTCCATATCGAAATATTTTCTGTGACAGCTGATCAAACCTTATCCATATTTTTGAGTGGACAGAATAACAAACATTTAACTACTGCATTAAATCACAATAGAAACCATTAGATTAAAATGAAATGATGTAACAATATTATAATATTACTATTGTGAATTTAGCTGAAGGCTGAAAATAGCTGACGGAGAAATAGTCTTTTGTCCATTGTCCCCACTAGTCAATGTCTTTTTCGAAGAATCTACGACGTCACCTCGATTCCATTATGGATGATTATCACACACTTGTTTAATGAATGAAGAAAGAAAGTTTAGGAAACTGATTAAGTTCATTGTGCGTAGTTGATTTTCATGAACTTGTACATATTATATCTAAGCAAATAATTACCGTTATTTCCATCCAGAATTTAAATTACTGTGACGTACGTGGTCTTTCAAATAAACATATCGATTTAATTTCTAGTCAGATGAATCTTAGAATGAAATGGCTGAATCGCTACTCTACTCATTTAGGACTTGAAGGTTATTGGTGGTCGTCAGCTTACTTCTACTGATTAGATATCAAAATGCAAAACAGCTGATGTTAAAGAATTTGATAAAGAAGGAAGCATTTAGTTGATGCGTCTGCTGTCTAAACGAAACTTGTTCGGACCCCAGCTAGAATATCCAGCATAGGACTTCGCACAACAGTGCATCGGTTTAATTGTCACTCTTCACAGAGCAAGTGGATAGAAAGAGACTGATGTCAACATAGACAAAGGTGTATGAGAGGAGAAAGGATTTGAAAATGAAGGTTAGTGAAAATGTTCAAACTTTTAGAATACATCAAAGAGTGAACAAATCTGTACCACTGTGACCGACTTTCAGTCATGTCACCGAGGGTCTCCAAGCCTTGATTCCTACTACCTCGATTACCACGACCAGGTAAGTCGATACTCTCCTACATGACTGAAACCAAGTGTCACAGACTCAGTGGACTGGTGCCACTTTTTCGTCTGATCACTGAGCCCTCTCCCAACCAAGTCCTGTTTCCAACAAGTCAGCTTCACCATATAGGATTTTCCGCCTAGTACTTTAATAGCCAGTATTTTACGAATCTATTGCTTAGGACCAAATCCAAGATAGATATAACAGTGATTTAACTTCAGAACAATGGAATGTTGTTGCAAACTATTGGAGACAACCAAGTCAACCTTGAAATTACAGTTTATTTTCTATTCTCGTGAAGAGTCACGTGCTTTACAGCGTTTTAGTACATGGAGTTCATTCTAAACCACAAAATCATATTGATAGGTGTTGAAAAATTACGAAAAGTAAGTTTATTATACTGTTTAAAGTGCCTTTCGAGGTGTTTCATCTGGCATCTATAGAGATTACTCATCAGCACATCATCTACCAAACTTCTGTGCTGATACGTATCTCCAAACATGAGGTGGTTAGGATAGCCTAGAACATGTTATTGCAGTAGCTCAATTTATATCCCGCCGTTTAAGAGGTTCTGTTAAGTTCTTTGTAGAAGCTAATTATACACGCTTCATTCTGTCCCTTTCCTTCGAATTATTTTCCAACGTTAAAGAATCAACAGCAGTTTGCTACTTTGACGAGAACAATGATGTTATTTTCGCGTAGTTTATTACCCGACGTTATCTTTAACTTATAGTTTACGGCATATTGAGCGAGCGAATAGAATTCCACTTACTAGCTATTTCATATTCATTTCTTCATTCTTGCATCTTATAGGTGGCGTCAGTAACCATTTGTTTTCCCGTCGTTGGGATAAACTCCACTTAAAGCTCTAGTGTTCATATGTATTAGGTGAATTCGGCTAAACCAACAAATCATTATTAAAGAACGGTTGACTTGCCCGCGAAAATCGAATTTATTTTTTTAATGAAATCACTATAAACTACCATATAAAAATCAAGGTAGTATCGAAAAATCCGGTTAGATATGGACCAATACAACATTAAAGATTCATTTTTGCCCTATTAATTTTTGTACCTTTCTGTCTATCACAGGGAAAAACTGAAAGCGGATATTGCCCGAGAAAGAGAAGAAAAGGTAAGTCAGAATGGTTGTTTTCAACCAACTGAGCCACAGTATTATGAAAAATTAAAGTGTTGGAATTCGTGGACGGAATATTTTCGTTGCGTCTCAGGGAATACATACCCTTGGTCTCTTACGACATTACTTACTAGGCAACCGGATAAACAGCAGACAAGATCAACGTATAACGCACACACGTGCATCGGTTCAACTTGCCACACTTCGCAGTAGTACACAAAGAACAAGAGGATAGAAAAAGAGTGATATCAGAGTAGACAAAGTTGTGTGAGACACTAAACAATCTTCGTAAGGCCTTACATGGCTGCGTAAGTTCTAGTAGAGAGCTTTGACAGGCATTACATACGTGCTTGCTACTCACTTCCCAGTCAGACAGCCACAACACCTCATGGTCGACAGAGTCAAATGCTACTTTCAGGTCGAGAAATATGGTCCCCGAGATGATGGAAATCAGTGGTTGACGACTCTTGCTGACATGGCTGAAAATCGGTCACAATGACGCAGATGTATTCAATCCACGACATCTTCTAAAGCTTGGATATTCGCACTAACTTATCTTCAGATTGTTTATTGTCTCATACAGCTTTGTCTGCTAACAGAGAGTGTAGTGGTTGAGTGTGTCGACCACTTCACTTACTTGGGAAGTAGGATCAGCTCTGGTGGCTCAGTGGCCGACGAAATTTCTGCACGAATACAAAAGGCTAAGCTGGCTTTTGCCAACTTACGCCAACTGTGGCGCTGCCGTGATATCCGATTGCCTATTAAGGGTCGCGTTTACTGCACAGCAGTCCACTCTGTCCTACTGTATGGCTGTGAAACATAGCCATTGAAGGTGGAAGACATGAGAAGACTTCAGGTGTTTGACCACCGTTGCCTTCGTAGTATAGGCCGTATTCCATGGTGCCACCACGTGAGCAATGTCGAAGTCAGGTATAGAGTATTAGGGAGAAGAGGTAAATCAGTTGACGAGGTTATCAACCTTTATCGACTGAGATGGTTGGGACACGTGTTACACGTGCCTAGTTGCCGTTTACCTCGTCACACAATGTTGGCCGAAGTAGTTTCAGGCTAGCAAAAGGCTCAAGGCGGCCACACTAAAAAATGGTATCAATATATGAAGTCTTTGTCTGTTGGTTTGAGTCGTGTGAGGCGATGCAGACTAGCCGGCTGGGGTCCGCGGGACAAGAGGAACCAGTAGTTGGAGACTAGGTGATATGGCTCAGAATTGAAGTCAGTGGCGCGCATATGTATACACACATTATCCTCACCTTAGTGCTACACCGAACCTCACCACTTTCCCATTCTTCCTTTCTCTCTTTTTTCGTACTTTATATTTCTTTCGACTGGATTTTCTTCTCTTCATCTGCTTTACTACCCTTTTACTTGACGTTCTGATATGAGGTGTGGCAACTTGAACCACTGCACAGTAATTTCTGGTCCTGTGTTGTTGATGACAACTTTGTCTACTGTGGTATCACTTTTTTTCTATCCTCTTGTTCTTTGTGTACTACTGTGAAGTGTGGCAAGTTGAACCGATGCACTAGTGTGCGAGGTTATTCGTTGATTGTTTTAGTTTTTCTCCTCCGTCATTTGTGTTAGCAATTTCCTACCTCCATTCTTGAATATTGCAGGTGACAAACTCATGTTCTGCTGCTTTGCGTCGTTTCAGGTTCGATGCAGCCTCCTCAACCTCAAAAGGAGTTAGAGGACGGACATCACCTACGTTCCACTCAAGTTGAAGGTTGATGCTGGTCAAATGAAGCGTTGCTTTGGAGAAGTTTTACTGTTCTTCAAAGTGTTCTCCCCACCGTTCTAGATAGATGTCTTTGGAGGTTATCAGTATCCTATCCTTTTCGGTGATGGTTTGATTCACCATCATCTTCGTCTTGCCGGTATCCTCATTAAGCTTAAGTAGTTGCAGAGTGTTACCCACTCCATCTCTTTCTCTTTCGCTACCCACCACTGCTCACGATCAATGCGAAGACTCTTGGTCAACGTAAGTTTAAGTTGCCTTCGCTCTTCGTCGTGGTCAGAGACAACTGGAGCCGGTCTTCTCACGTCAGTCAGTTCGGATAACATTGCAGAAATCTGATGATGTTTGTTAACCTTCGGGTGTACGTTATCAGTTGTCTTTACCGCTCTTCCTACAGCGGACTTAATATCATGCTAGGTTTCTTCATGGTAAGCATTGTAGTCATGTTCAGATAAAATACTTAGCTGACTCCTCTCTGAATACATACTTAGCGTCCTCATTTTCCAATAGGGCAGAGATACGCTTCAATACTGACTGATATCTAGTCGAGAAGTGCATTTTCTGCTCTACAGCTCAATGCTACACCTACTCTAGCGAGTCCATGAGAGCTAGCCATTGGGTCTCTGTATAATCATAAGCTGGATTTTGAAGATTAACTACTATGGTCAGGTGAGGTCGATTGAATAACCACAGCCGGGTCCTGTCTACGTGTCGCAGAGACGCAGCATACATCTATGGATCGGATTTGAGAGTTCCGGCTAGCGATGCTTGCTGTCCGATTTGGCATAGAGTTTGGACGTTGAAAGCTCCTACATGAAGTCGATGGTGGGCGGTGTCTTAGGAGACTAGGAATGTGTCGATGGCTTTGCTCGTTAGTAATGGTTTCAGAATGAGAGGTTGAAGAGAGTGTAAAAGGCTTAATATTAGTATCATGAGGTGAAGGTTAAGGAGGAGATAGAGTTGAAGAGGATAGGTTATGTTTGATTGGGTCTTGTATAGTACTGGAAGTGAGCGGGCGGTTGATACTTCCCGGCTTCCTACATCGTGGAAGGCTAGTTCTTGAGGTACTCGAAAAGAAGGGCTAGAGTGTGACCGCAGAGCTCATAAGACATCCGTTTGGGGCCGGTCACATGCGTTTTTTTTGTTTGAGATCTTGGTTTTTGCTTATGAATCCCGCCGCATGGCGCGTGGAGGTGGGAGGGGGGGGATGGGAAGTGTATTATTTTCGAGACCGACCTTTTCTAACCCCCCTCCTCCTTCCTATAGGGAAGGCAACATCAGCGTGGCACTACTGGTTACTAAAATCACTTCTTTTTAATCGAACATTTTGGGATTGATTTATAGAGTATATGTTCCTTATCGATACTTCTCGATTGAACTAAGGTTTTGTTAGGGATACTTACATCCCGTATATTCCATACTTACACTTTGTATACATTTGAACAGGTTTATTCGCACTCTTTCCCGTGAATAAGTCATATTTTGTATGACCCGCTGTTGTTATGATTGGCTCCTGTCTCTTTAAATGTACTAGTTATCCCTTGTCTTCCAAGGTTACTTTACACTCTATATAAATAGCGTCCGTTTTCATCCATAAAGGTTATCAGTCCGAGATACTATAAACTCATCTGGTTTCCAGTCTTTTGATTTCTCTTTGCGAATCACTCGGGCTACATCCTCTCAACCCTCGACTACCAATCGTTAAGTATTTCCATTCGTTCTCACAACTCCGCATCATAACAGGTTTATTGATCGAGTCAGTTGACTATCATCTAGTCGGTTACTATTCTGAGCTTTGTTCTACCTACCAATTTATTGCCACTGAGATAATATCAATGGCTTTCACACAATGAGGATGACTCACTACCTCGAACTGTAACCCATTGTTCTAGACTCATGGATTTAAATTCAGCTCCAACTAACAATGTCTGGGGAACCAAGTAGATTCATTGCATACTGCACGGATGTACTCAAGGCTGCTGAGTGGATTGCAGGTGGCTGATGACTTGCGTAATCGGTCTGTTTATCGTCATACTACGTTTTGTGTAATCAGCTGTACTGTCTAAAAAGATGAATTCAGAATTATATTGTCATGTATATATCACTTCAGTGAACGAATTGGCTAGGTTGAATAGTATCATCTGGTTTCACCGAAGAAACGTGGTTGATTTAGATAACTCACCTTCACAAGCTGAATCTAACTTGAAAAGCAGCTACTGTTTACTTGGATCACCTTGATCTGACAGGCGAAAATTGCTGATCGCACTAATCTTACCATCTTGAGTTCATAAATATTCTACAATTTGTTTTCTTTTCATATGCTTCAAGCTTTCAGTGTATTACACTACTGCATAATATCGATTTTAATCGAGTCTTTTCCTCGTTAAATGCCATTCTCGAAAAAAGGAATAAATTGTGCTTCTATTCGTTTCAACGTGAATACAATTTTATTAGATATCATCCAGTAAATAAGTCAAAATAACATGTAATTATCCCTCCTCAATTCGCCTGTAGCGTGCACGTGAACTTGGTCTAATACCACCGCCTGTTGAGTCAAATAATCCAACTCCTGTACCAACTTCAGTGCCTAAATCAAATTCAACAGTGTGTCGTTTACAAATTCGTCTACCATCTGGTCAATCAATCAAAACAGAATTCAGTGCCAATGAACTTTTGAGTTCAGTTAGATTGTATATTAGTCAAAATTGGCCTGATTCTTCAACATCTATTGACCCTGAATCTATTCAGTTAATTACCAGTTTTCCTAGACGAGATTTCACCGATGCAGATATGAGTAAATCCCTTTCAGATTTAAGTAAGTCATACACCAGCCTTAAACTTTTTCAACTATAGAAGTGGGATGGATTCATTCAGTTCATGAATGAGGAGTTCTCTTTTGAGCTCACTTAGTTTACATATCTATATTGTTCAACCTTTTTTGATGGGTTGGTATATTGTTTATATGCCCCTAATATAAAGTTTTTGATTGACTTTTGAATATCTCTAAGTGGCTGGCAGCAACCGAATTAGTGATTATCTTGCTGTCTGATCAAGTCCCTTGCAGGAAACAGATCCCAATACTAAATATGATCAGTATACTAGTTTCTGAGATTGTAATCAGACTATATGAATCTTGAAATAATTGTTATCTTACGTGTGTCCTGTCGATTCATCACCTGTTCTAATAAGAATTAAGTTAATTGACACTATCTATGCTGTACCCAGTAAAGTTCCATGTTGAGCATTATTTTTGCTGGTACTCGAACTGACTCTAAAAGAAACAGCTGGGTATTCAGTTCATGATGTAAGAGAGTAGTGTGATGGATAATTGTGTAGTGTTAACATCTGATGATACATCCTGATTCACACAGATATCATACTTCTCAATGACTCGACTTTTTGTCAATAATGACCTACTGTGATAATTCATCAAAATTGAGGGCGGTTCTTATGACTTTCGGAACTTGCCTTTCAGTCGTTGCACACTGAGTCTCGCGCTAAAACCAACTCTGACGATGATGCTAAGCTTGGGTTATTATCTACAGTGCAGACTTGGAAAGTTTTATTTATTATTATTATTAGTCCCTTGGGTTCCTAATGGAACATACGGCTTCAGTAGCATGTCTCCAGTGCACTCTGTTCTCTGAAATCTTTTGAACCTGGCTCCACAACCCAGAAGCTCTCACTTCCTCCTCGCACGATCTCCTCCATGTCACCCTCAGACGTCCAACTCGTCGCTTCCCATGGGGATTCCACTCGAGGGCCTGAAGCGTGATGTCTTCAGCCGGCCTTCTCAGTGCATGCCCAATCCAATCCATCTCCACTTCCTCCTGCATATTTGTTGGGTGATAGGTTCTTGGTTGGTTCGTTCCCAGAGCTCCTTGTTGCTTATTCTTTCTGGCCATCTGATCTGATCTTCAGTAACGAGCCAGCGTAAGCAGTTGTTGATGAATGTCTGTAGTTTATTGGAAATGCCTTTCGTGACGCGCCAAGTCTCTGAACCATACAGGAGCACTGACTTGATGTTGGTGTTGAAAATCCGTATCTTGTTCCGCATGCTGAGTGCAGAAGATCTCCACACTGGTTTCAGGTTAATGAACACCTGTCTTGCTTTTCCGATTCTGACCTTGACGTCCTCGTCTGTGCCTGTGCCGCCTGTAGTTGAAACAGTGCTTCCTAGATAGGTGAAGAAGGTTACTTCCTTTAAGTTTCTCCCGTTGACGGTGATTGGAGTTTGTTGTTGTTGTTGGTGCGGTATCTTCATCACTTCTGTCTTCTCTATATTCACCTGAAGTCCCGTCTTCGCTGCCTCTTCTGTCAACTTGTTAGTTTTAGCCTGTAGATCTTCAAGTTTATGTGACATCAGGCACAAGTCATTGGCGAAATCCAAGTCTTCTAGGTTCTTTTCGCAGTCACTGTATCCCCCTCTTCTCGCTGCCCACTGTTTGCTGCATGATCCAGTCCACCACAATCAGGAATATCATGGGGGATAGTAGGCAACCTTGTTTCACTCCTGCCTTTACTTCAAAATCATCACTGAGCTTCCCATTGTGAATTACTTGGCATGCGGCATCTTCATATAGTTGTTGAATGAGGCGGATAAAGGTTTGTGGTACTCCGTAGTAATGAAGCAGTTTCCAAATTACTTCTCGGTCGACGCTGTCAAAGGCCTTCTCAAAGTCGATGAAGTTGAGGTAGAGAGCTGATTGCCATTCTATGCTCTGTTCTATGATGATGCGTGGAGTGGCGTTGCAATTTGGTCTGCACATGATTTGTACTTCCTGAAACCTGCCTGTTCCAGTCGTAGTTTTGAATCCAGTGCATCTTTAAGCCTCTCCAGGATGATGCGGCTTAATATTTTGCTTGCTTTGGGTGGACAGGAGAGTGATTCTGCGCCAGTTCTTGCAAACAGTGAGGTCTCCCTTCTTCGGGAGTTTGACAAGGTAACCCTTCTTCCAATCAATGGGCAGGTACCTTCTCTTCCTTCCACACCTTCTGCAATAGTGGTGTGGTGTGAGCATGTCTGCTGTTGTCCCTGCGTCTGTTCTCAGTGCTTCTGGTGGGATTCCATCTGGTCCTGCTGCTTTCCCACATTTCAGTAGCTTTATGGCGTTCAGGACTTCCACTTTTGTTGGAGGATTAATGTTCACTTGTAGTTCAGCTGCTGTAGGTGGTATTTCTGGACGAAGTGCAGATGGTGGTGGTGGTCGATTCAAGAGCTTCTTGAAGTGGTCGGCCCATCGTTTCCTCTGTTTCTCTTCTTTCGTAATTAAATTTCCGTCATCATCTTTTATTGGTTTCATCTGCGTTGATCTCTCCCCAGATAGCAACTTGGTTGTTTGATACAATGTTGTCAGGTCTCTCTCTCTCCTACCTGCAGCCTGTTCTGTTTCACTTACAGGTGTGTCGTGTAAGTGTCTTTTGTCTTTGTATGCACTCTTCTTCACTTCTTTGTCCAGTGTTTTATACATTGTGCTCAGTTTGTATCTGTCGAGATCCATTCATTGTTTTCTTTCTTCTTCCTTCCTAGTATGGCTGTGCAGGTTTCTTTCCACATCTCTTTCAAAGACTTCCAGTGTTGTTCCACGCCCAACCCTTCAGGGATGTTACTCAATGTCTCCCATTTCGTTCTGATGACTGAAGTGAAGATTTCCTTTGTAGTTTCATCCTTCAGTTCCTGTTCCGAGTGTTGTACTTGAACTGTGGTCTATCACCAGCTTCCTTGAAGGCTTTTAACTTGATTTGGAAGTTAGGTTCCTTGCACTAGATAGTGGTCTGAACCTACATCTGCTCCTCTTCTTGACCATGTGTCAAGTGGGCTAACTGCGTCTCCATTTTCTTGAGATTGAGATAAAGTCGATTTGATTTTTAGTGTGTCCTGATGTCTGATGAAATCCATGTCGCTTTGTGGATATGCTTGTGCTTGAGCACACTGCCTCACTCCAATCACCAAATCGTTGAATGCACAGAATTCTGCAAACAATTCTCCATTCTCGTTCATCACCTCACCGAGTGCTTCTCGACCCATGGTTAGTTCTCTTCCTGTGTTGTCTGCTCCCAGTTTGGCATTCATGTCGCCCATTAGAATTTTGATGCCGCCAACTGAGACGGGGTCTTGTCCAGTGTTGATTGAAGTTGTCTGTAGAATTCCTCCTTTTTCTCTTCATCTGCATTATTTGTAGGTGCATAGCATAGCATAGTATGATTGTGACTTTGCTTCCTTTTGAGTTGAACCTTGCCGTTATGATCCTGGAGGAGGAGATTTGTTCCTACTGCATGAGGGCCTTCGATGCTGTTGGGGACATCATGATAGCCACTCCCTGAGTGTGCTCTTGGTTGTCGTGTGGGTGACAACATCGGAGTAGATTATTGATTCTCCAGTTGACAGTTTGGAGAGTCCACTCCCATTCCATCTGCTTTCGCAAATTCCAAGCACTTCAATGTGATACCTCTTCATCTCGTTTGTAATCTGGGCTGCCTTGCTGAGTTCAAACATCGTGCGGGCATTCCATGTCCCCATGTTTACTTTCGCTTTCATCCACGGAGAGAAGACATCTGCCAATTGGCTTCCCGAAGGCTTTCACCAACTGACGTCATTTCGTCTCTCCGATTCCAGTGAGGAATAATTTTGTTATAATTTTTTATATTTCGTTTGTGCTGTGAAGTTTGTTTAGCGGTTAGATTTGTTTTCCGGGGTAGGGTTGCTAGCCCTATGCCCAACCTTCCCTCTTTACCCGGTCTTAGGAGGGGCTAGTAACTAGTGAACTAGTTAACCAGGCGAGGTTTGGAAAGAGTTTAAGTAACTTGAATTCCGAATTTGTCTATATGTAACTACTCCCAGTTGGACACTATAGAACTAAATGGATATAAACAGGAAAATGTGATGGAATTTCACGAAGCTAAATAGGAAATCATTAATCATAGGTTACCTAAGGCGTCAAAGATTGTATGTGGTTGATTATATCTGTAGTACATAGAGGGAGGAGATAAGTACATAATCAAGTAATTCTCGGTTGTAAATCTTTGCTAACAACTTTTTAAATCTTTTTAGTAGGAAAAGAATTTAACTGTAAATGTAAAACGTAAATTGTTCTTTAAATTTTTGTATTTTGGCTACAAAGATCAGATCAGGGCGAGCACTTATTAGTTATGTTCCCTAGTATATTGAGGTTAGAAGTTTCCTATCTGTGGACTATCATCGCGTGATGTTTAGTCTATGGGTTCAAGGCTCAACTTCTTTTTCTTTCTAGCGAATCAGTTGTATCCTAATTTGAATTGTGCAAAAGTTACGGAGTGAATGTAAGGTGAAACGTATTTTTAAGATAGTACTGGTTATACGTTGGTCGCATCGAATACGTGGACGTTCCTCTAGATTTTGTCTCATTTTAGTTGTACTACTTATTATTTGTAAGTAGTTACGGTTTATTCATTAATTTTATATTCAAGTCGTTTGCTTAATGAGCATGTATTTCAGTTTCTCTGCTTGACTTATCCAGGGCAGTAGTATATTCTAGTCATGACAAAGAAGTGACTCAAAACCATAGATCAAACTTTTATGGTCAACCTTGTTGCATGCAAAGTATCTTATTTTCGTTGTTTCTTTTCTTTGTAGACCTATGTCCATCTTCAGTTGTAATAGTTCGACAGACAGCAGCAACTTAAATGGTTTCCTTTCAACTCACTGTTTGACATATATATATATATATATATATATATATATATATATATATATATATATATATATATATATATATATATATATATCAGTTCTGGATGCATATCTTTTGATGCTCACTTTATAAGTATAGTGCCAATCAGACATTTTGAGTTTTAATCTGGTTTGTCACTTTTGTTTAAAAATAATTAAAGCTTGCTAGAACTATCCGTCTGTTCTTGTTTTTTTACTGTTGTGGGCTTAGTATTTTTCATTTTCAGCTAGTAGAAATACCATTGCATGGTGACTTATCTGAAGCCTAAGATGTCAGTCGTTATTGAATTCAAATTCAGTAGCTTAAACAATGATGCTTCGTATCAGGAATTCAGGATTATATGTTCTGTTTAGTTGGGTTTTTGTTTGCCTAGGGACCCCTTAAAGGGTACGAGGGTTTTTGTAAAGTTCTTCATTTTGGTGTCTGAAGTGACCGAGTGGAATGGACTTACAGAATAATACGAAATACGAGGACACTACTAACACATAGAGATATTTAGACTGGATCCGAATGGTGGCTGTTCTCCCTCAAACCTTCACTGAGCCATGAAAATCAGAAGACAAAAATCTATCTGGGATTGTAAGGAAGACAACTTTGTTTGACAAAAAGATACAGTTTTTCTTCGGAAAATAAAGCCACTATGTCGGAAGTTGGGTCCTTATTTTCATTGATCAGCTAATGGACAAAATTGCTCATTAAGGTAGTTCCCTGCCCACACAGTAACATGAAAATAAGGTTGAAATCTGAAACTTCTACCTTGGCAGCTGATGATTTAAAATGCTGGTTTCGATTTAGACGTCTTCCTAGTAGTGTCTCCTCACAGTTCACGTTTTATTTTGTGGGTAACCCAACCATATTCAAACAATATAATGTATTTATGCACAACTAGAAGACTTTCTATCAACCTCTATTATAACAGGTTATTGTTTAAAAGGAGACAACAGTTGTATCTACAGGTATTTCTTACTAGCTTTCAATTATAAGGTGAATATAAAACGACTGCTAACCATACTTCAATTGATCGGTAACCCAAGAGGGGATATCCTTTAAGAGGTATGAAAGTCTGTTTTTTACTTACCTTTGGTGGAGCGGTGGGTCATTGACCTATGGAATACAACGGGCACATCGCGGGGAGTCAGGTGGCCCTCACACTTACTAGAGGCATGACTCATTGCCTATTACACAAGGTTACTGGGTGGCTTTCCAATTTGCTTGCTTGGTTGGGGAACACCTAGCTCACACTACAAGGTTCTTCGCTGACGTATGTTATTGAATATGGAAATGTACTTGTTATCTTTGCATCTCACTGGTTTCTTTTCAAAAGGCTGTTTTGCTCTACTTGCTGTCATTTAGAGAACTGATAAAAAGTAGTTACATGATTTGTAACCACTTTATGATATTCAGAGTGCATTGATAAGACCAACGAATGATACTAATTTCTGTAGTTTCCAGCTATTTTTGATGGTTAGTAGTATGTATGATACATTCTTAAATGCATTAATGGTGCCAAAAAGAATCCGCATATTGTGACGTGAACATTTCAGTTTTAATTAAAATAACGTAGGAATTGGATAGTATCATTTCAGGTAAGCGTTAGTCACTGAGACACTGGACGGAACAGCTGTCTAGTACATCCAAATTTTCATTGGTTTTCCGAATGGTGTCAGTCGGTGATAGATATTACCATGAAGTCAATGAATCTTCACAAACCTCCGAACTGTAATCCTCCATCTGAGGTAGGTAGTGGTCTGGCGTGTGTAACGTCTTGAAGCCATTTCAGTCTCTGAGGGTTCACAACCTCATCGACTGACTTACCTATCTTGATTAGTACTTTTCTCTTAGTCTTGAAATCGCTCACTTGGAGATTCCAACGTACAGGAGAAATGCTACGAAGACAACTACGATCAAAACCGTGTAATCGCTTCATGTCTTTTACTTTTAATGGTCATGTCTCAGTTGTGTAACGGGACATAACTGACTGCAGCACACTGTGCTCTTCCTTTGATTTATGGTCGGATATCCCGCCGGTCGGCACCACAGATGACACAAGTTAGCAAATGCCAAACGGGCTTTTCCATATCCGAGCTGAGATTTCGTCACTAACCAGCCAGTTTGGGCTAATGCAACTCCCCGAGTAAGTGTAGTGGTCGGCGCCTAGTTGAATTAGAGCAGTCTTGGAGCATCATCTAACATTTGACAGGTGCAAAACCCAAGCCTGACATTCTCGTATTTCTGTTTATCGCGTTCACAGGACGCTGCCTACATTTTTGTTGGCATCTTCACTTGGTAGGACAATATCGTCTACATACTTCAAGTCAACCAGATCAATCGTTGTGAAGTCATATGTACCCAAGGTTATGTCCATTAGTAAGTCTATGGTGAAGTTATATAGGAACGGTGACAACGGGCGTTCTTGGATGACCACTAGTTTTCGACATTTGTAATGACAACTTTTCATAAGGCCTTATACTGCTGCGTAATTTCGAGCATAGAGGTTTGGTAGGCATTACATACGTGCTGGGTACTCCCTTCCCAGTCAGGCAGCCACAACACATGGTCAACATAGATAGCACCTTCATGTCGAGAAATATATCAAGTGTCGACCGTTGGCTGGTAGATAGGCCTATTTTCCAGAATCTGTCGGAGGGTGAAAACATGATCTATGCACCATCGAGCAAGTTTGAAACCTACCTAGTTTTCTCTAGTTTGCTGTCCTCAGGCTCCAGTTAAGCCCTTGGTAGCTGTGGATTCTAGGATATTGGGCATAATATTAGTCAAACTGGTTCCCCTTTGGTTGCCACTAGAAGGCTTTCCCCCTTCTTATAGACTGGGACGATCAGTGAAGTAGATGGTGTGATGGTATAAATCACCTAGTACCTCCATCACTTTAGGCAGCACTTTACTACCTTAATCCTTTGAAAATTCAGATGGTGAACTGTCAGATCCTGCTGCTTCGTATCATTTAGGATTTGAAAAAGCCTTTTCAATTTTGGTTTAGTTAGACCATACTTTACTAGTTTCATTACTCTTTCAGAAAGTGTATCTATCAATTGAGGAAAGTATAAATGTAAAGCGCTAGCAACAAAATGAGTAGTTCACTACGCACTTAGAGATATGGTCTGATTGGTAGCAATGGAACATGACTCACGTGCACTAAAGGTAAATATGACTTCCTCAGTAGTAGCTAGGAAGGCACGCTTGTATGGGAAAATTGGAGAGAAACAGTTCACCCTTACCTATATTTCCTTTACTAAAGTTTCAAGGAGCGGCGAACGTGGCTAGTTCACCAAGTTTTATATTTGTAGTGTATCTCCATCAATTATCTCTTAACTGGGGTTCTCGAAATGATAAAAATCAATGATTGGATACTCTCAGTGACATTGCTCATAATCGGTCATACTCACACATATATGTACACATTTTGTTACCTTCGATACTTCATTTAGCTTCATATGTTTATCTACTCTCTTCTTATGTTCTTTTCTCAGGTTTGATATCTTTCTTTTTCTTTCCGCGTCTTTGGTTGCTGGTATAAAGTGGAACAGCTTGAATTTCTTCGCTTTTGTACCAGGTCCTGTTGTCACTTATCAGATGATAGTAATCAATTAATAACTGATATGTTTAAATCTAATGTACTGAAGATGAGTGAGTAGATTTTTATTCAGAACTTGAACTCTTATGAATAGAAAATATGTCCTGACTAAGTTCTCTTTGAAAAAAAATATCCGATGACAGTTGATCAAGTGAAAACAAGCTGAATTCAATTCTACATTACGAAAACTTAACAGAGATCTGATTACTTCTGACAGTAGATTTGCTTTATTCTGTTCTAATTTGTTTATCTCTATCAATTTTGCAAAAGTAACTGGCAAGACATTTGAAATGTATGATGATACTGACCTTTAAAATGCATGCATTAAAACAATGATAATAATATAAAGAAGAAATGAAGATATTGACATTTCAACAGGAATGAAATAATGACAGGCATATACTGATAACACTTTTATCAAGATGAAACAAAATTTTGTCAATATCATTTAGTGGTAATTTAATTCATTTATTGAAAATTCATGAGGTAAATTTTTGTCAAATAATGGATTTGAAATTATTTTTAATTATAAATCTTTACACCGATTGAACAAAGTGAAATTGGAAGTTGATCAGCTATTGGTATTATTTTGTCTATTAGGTAGTATAAGATACAAATACTCAGTTGAACAGAAGGTCATTATTACATCAAATCTGACTGCTATCAATGTTCTTATTCTTGATCTTGTAATCGTCACCCTCATGTCAGTAATAGAGTCTACATATGGAATAATCCTAGTCTTACTTCTTGTCTGTTGCCTGAAGGACTCGATAATAAAAACTCGAGCAAATGACTCATATTCCAGACATGCACGACGGTGTTTCGATCTAATTTGGCCCCTTTCGACAGGTTATGGAGAATAAGCATACTTACCGGCGGTTGATACTTGCTGTATTTCATCGCCTAAAGGTGGCATTCCACTCTGTCGACTTTGAAGTGTTCTGACTGTCTGGATGTGAATGGAGTACCGAGCAGGTAAATAGCGCTAATCAAAGCTGTCTACTTGAAATCACTCAGGCATGTAAGGGCTTATGGAGAGTTGTCATGTGGACAGATGCAACAACTAATGGTGTCCTCCAGGGATGTCCATTGTCAACGTTCCTATTTACTTTCGTTATGGATGTATAAATGGATATATTTTAGGTACCTCTGAATTCACATCTACTGGTCTACACACTGGATGGACTGTGGTTGATTTGGAGTACATAGATGACATTGTCTTGTTAAGCGAAGGCTGACAAAATTCAGTCTCCAAAACATGTTAGGCCGAAATCTGATTATGTTTGGCATGCATTTTGCACTGATTAACTGTAAGATGATGGATCAAGATTGATCTGTAGCTACTCCTAGTTTAAGGATAGAGAACAAAGTGGCACCAATCGATGAAATATCTGACTGTTGGTTTGAGCCATGTGGGGGAGATGTAGACTACCTGGCTGGAACATCTTAGACGACGGGAATCAGTGTTTGAAGACTTCTGGTGAAATGGCTGGAAATCGGTCACAATGGCGGAGATTCGTTCACTCGTTGATGTCTCTAAAGCTTAAATATTTTCATTAACCTTGATTTTCAAATTTCTTTTCCTCTTATGTACCTTTGTCTACTTTGATATAAGTTTTTTCTATCCACTTGCTATTTGCATGGTACTGTGTAGTGTGTAGCAACTTGGACCGATGCACTTTTGTTTGCGAGGTTCTACGTTGGTATTGTCTATCTGGCAGTCGTAATTAGAAACGTCTGTAAAGTATCTTTTGCCTAAATATACTTAGAAAACAATGTTTTCAGTGAAGAAGTATTTTTTGAACAATTGTTCTGATTTCAAGTTGGTATTCATCATAGACTGACACTAATTGGGGGAACATTGGAAACCTGTATGCACTGGGTAGCTGTTTCGTCCCACTTATATGGGACTCCTTAGTATGATGAATACTGACTTAAAATAAATAAATCCCCTCAAACCCTCAAATTGAATTAATCTAATGGTCACTGGTGACTAGTTTCGAGAGCTGGTTCCTGAAGTTCGAATGACAAGTCGTGACGGTTGGGGTGAACCTGGTGGCCATGAGGAAAAATACTCAATGATGACTGACAAGCTGGAAATATTAACGATTGGACTCCGATGAAATGAATCAATGATAAGGTGGTGGGTTCCACCTTTTGGGGGGTGGGGCGGGTTCATGGGTGCGGACTGCTGAGGAGTCCCCTACAAGTGGGACGAAACAGCTATCCAGTGCTTTCAGCTTTCCAATATTTCTGATGTCAGTCCATGATAAATATGAACTTGAAACCACTATATCCTGCAAACTCCTACCCCCAAATTAGGTGTTTTAATTGTTCATTACTGATGTGTTGAGTATTCATAGATATCGATTCAACTAAGGCATTCAAATTGCTCAGACTACCTGTATTCTAAACAGTTGTTTCAAGATTCAGATCTTGAATTAGAGACCAATTATTCCTTTAAAATATTTACAGTCAAATGCAGATGAGGATAGGTTAACAATTATATTTGTTCCTTAAAAACAACTGACACCTAATTGAATGTATTTTCCCAAAGTTTAACTAATGGCGTGCCTTTTTTTTGCAATCAATATTGAAGTGAAAACCAATTTATATGTTTGAAATGCTGGTAATTACCGATTTGTTTCAGTATATATTATTAGAGAGATAAGAATGACAATACATCTAAGGTTTCTTGTAGATATTAAATTGAATAGTGGATTACTGCGTGGGGACATAGTTTGTCATGATTTCTTGAGAAATTCAGTGGTTTTAAGATGGCCCAAAGCTATGTGGTTACTAGCATTTACTTGAGGTTTTTGCCGACATCTTAAGTCTTGCAAAGAAAATTCTATTCAAAGCTATTGAGATAATCATTTTATAAATTGCTTATATTTAGTTGTCGCTGTTTTTTTCTACGTTATTCTTTACTACCGGCTATATAACTGGAAAACTGTTTTTAAGTTACAATTGGTAACTACTTCCAATTATCTCAGATAAAGGCTATCAGTTCAAAGTAAGTCGATATTTGACTGACAAAATCAACGTAGAACCTCCCACATAGGTGTATCAACTCAAGTTGTAACACTTCACAGAAGTACACAAAGAATAGGTGGATAGAAAAGGGGTGACATCATAGTCGACAAAGTTGTGTGAGACAATAAACAATCTGAAGATAACAGTTAGTGTGAATATTCAAGCTTAAGAAGATGTTGTGAAATGAATACATCTAAGCCAGTGTGACTAGTTCCCAGCCATGTCAGCAACAGTCGTCAACCACTAATCCCCATCATCTCGGGGACCATAACCAGGTAGTCTACGCCTGCGCACACGACTCAGACCAACAGTTAGGGACTTCATTGACCGGTGCCACATCTTGGTGTAGCCATTTTGGACTCTTTTCTATCTTAATCCAGCTCCCTTTAGCATATCCAGATATAGTGTTACTTACTGGATGACGTTTCGAGCAGAATTGACTGCCCATGTTCATATATCAAAGGTCATTCATTTCTTTATTTTAATGCTAGTAAAAATTCTTAGATATCTCCAATGTCTGATGAATCATTCCTTTTACATGCGCGTTAGATGTTGATCCAATGAATAAAGATTCTGTGACCAATCTCTCCTTCCACCTATCTATATTCGATTTTAGAATGATCACCCTATCCCACCCCATACAGTGTGATAGTAGGTCAGTGCATACAACTGATAGCCGAGTTTTTCTCCACATTGCTTGACTTAGCAGGTTCTACTATTGTATGTTTCGCTAAATTGTTGTGCTTTGTTATTCATCCTGGTACTAATTGGCTTCTTTGACCTATATGCTTGACTTCACAATCATTTGATGGATTAGGTTATTTTGTTTAGTCAATGCTACTGGATCTTATAGCCTTCAAAGTTCCTCTGAGTCAGTCTGTGGGTTTAAATACCACCCTAATCCCAGCATTGTTACGAATTCTACGTAAAATTTCCGATGTGTTTTCTCGATACTCCAATATTACACAGGATTTGAATTCCCTCTTAAGCATGTAGCAATTACCACTTATATTATCGTTCCTTCGCTTATTAGTCCTTATAAACGTCCTAATAAATCCCAAGTTGGTATTCATCATGGACTGACATAAGTTGGGAGAACCTGGGAGCACTGAAGAGCTGTTTCGTCCCACTCGCATGGGACTCCTCAGTAGTCTGAACACATGACCCCATCCCGTTTCCTGGGGAATCGAACTCATCACCTTCAGGTTCTGTTGCCAGCACATTTCCATTGACCCACTCCATCGGAATCAAGTGCCCCATATTTCCAACTTCTGCCAGTTCACCACATAGGGCCACCATCACCACCCAATGTCATCGTTGAGTATTTGTCCTCACGGTCACTAGGTTTACCCCACCGCTCACGACTTCTCATTCGAACTTCAGGAATCATCTCTCGAAACTAGTCATCAATGAGCACTAGATCAATTGAATGTGGGGTTTTGTGGTGATTTAGTGAATTTATAAACTGGTAATCATCATGGACTGACATCTGTTGGAGAGACATTGGAAACCTGAAAGGACTGGGTAACTGTTTCGTTCTGGTATGGGTCTCCTGGGCAGTGCATACCCATGACCCGACACACCCTTAAATGAAGTTTTAAAAAGTTAAGACGTAGTGTATCTTTGATGTGTTTCAGTTCATTACTTAGCTTTTCTAATTTACCAGTCAAACGTTTAGCCCGATTATGTTGTCATGTTATCAAGCTCACCTAAAGAGATGATGTAATGTCCTGTAATCTATTCGAATGTGTTAATTTCCTATAAACATTGGTATCTAACCTTCCATTTTCTTATCTCCTCTTGATTTCGTAATCCAACATAGGTAATTATCCTTCTTTATTTCCTAATTCCAGTAAATGCTACTGTATCATTGTGGGCTGGTTTTTTTTCAAATAAACATTCTAATATAGATTTATGCTCTATCAGAGTGCTCAACTTTTACCTGTATATTGGTAGATGATATATAAATGCTAAAATAATAAATAAGACATAATTATAGCATAGATTACTTTAACATTGTATCATGCAACCAACAAACTATATTCTAAGCAAAAGCAGAAATCTTCTAATTGCAGTAACTACCTTTTTAAGCTTGTGCATTTACATCCCTTGATATGTTTGGATAAAGCAAGAAGGGCGGAATTTACAGACTAATAAAATGGTATCACCATTTCACTTCACAAGTCCTCTTCAGCTGATCCATCCAGTCTGAAACCATAGTGATTATTAAAACGCGAGATATTTCAAAATCACAAAGTCAATTGTCTTAAGTTTTACAAGATCACTGGTAATCCATGTAAAATGTAAGAGAATTACTAAGTGTACAGAGGTAAAAAAAAATGAATAGAGAGTTATGCAGTTTAAATGAGACAGGATCAAATGATAGTCACCAAGACAGTGAGAGATTAAACACACTCTTCTTCTGTAAGTGAAAGTCAGTCTGAAAGCGTTTTATTACAATGGCTTCTGTGAAACACAGTAATCTAGACACTTTCTGTATGTTAATTATTTCAAAGGAACTTGAGGTTTTAATCTGATTTCGTGTGTTTGTGAAGTGTCTGGTAAATGCACTGATTAGAATTTTTACTTCCTTTTCCCATGCTCAGCGAACCGAACGGAAGCCATTTCTAAGAATTGATGTATTCCTCTTTCTTGAGCCTATGCACTGTACTTTTTACCAGTTAACCTAAAGGGTATAAGGGCTTACTAGTATTTTTGGGTTATTCTTTAAAATAAAAACCTTTGAATGCTCTTATTACACCGATGCACAGTTGTAATAATGATAATAGTAAAATTCTCTGATTTCTTTTCCATTCCTTAGAAAAAAACAGACAAAAGGGTCTTTTAAAATAAGAAGGGTAGATAAAAACAGTTTATTGTCTCACATTTCGAACTTCTATCATTAAAAAGGTGATGAAGTAGTTTGCCGTATTTTTGCATAGGATACTGTAGGAAATTCCTAATTTATAATCAGATATTTCAGTTGTTTTTTGTAGAATAGTTTGACTTGTACGGTATTGTGCGCGGCAAAGTATAAGTATTTGACAATCGTTACTTAAGGAAGTGGACTCTTCTCCTCTTTGAAGTCGGTAGAGGGTGGAGTAACGCAAGGCACAGCCCTGGATTCCCTGCTGTTTCTCATGTACGTAAATGAGCTGCCGAATATCACGAAGTCCCGTGATGATGTAAAAATCTGGCAAGAAATTAAGAATGACGAATATATACGTGCCTTTCAGGCAGACCTAAACAGGTTGTTTACCTGGTCAGGGAAGTGGCTGATGCCTATCAACGCAGGTAAATGTGTGAGCATGCATTGGGGTACACACACAGCAACACCTACGATAGTGATGGTACTCCCCTACCGTCAGTACTGACTCACAATAAAATGGGAGTCATAGTGAGTTATGATTTAAAAACCACGACACACTGTCTATTGGAAGCAGCTCAGAGTTTTAGGACACTGGGCATTATGCAGAACGTTTCCCAAAATAAGTAGTGATACGCTCACTATCTTATACACATCCTTATTTAGGTCTAAATTAGAAAACTGTTCACAGGTGACAAATCCTTTTCCGATAGGTGATGCAGACCTTCTTGAACGAGTTCGGAGGGCAGCTACTCTTATGATCCCTGAGTTGTCTGGCCTGACCTATGAAGATCGACTTAAGGGACTGAACCTCTTCTCTTTATCCGGACGCAGACACAGGGAGAGGTCTAATCGTGCTATACAGGATTCTAAGAAATGACACTGGACCTGATCTATCTTCTCTTATCCTTCCCATTAGGTTGGAACACCTCAGAGGCCATAGTAGGAGACTAAAAAAGCAAGGAACGAGCATAGTCTCCGCAGAGTACTGGTTCTCGTTTCGAGTAATCAACTCCTGAAACAGACTTCCAGAAGAAGTGGTGTCCGCCTCACCAATTGACTCGTTCAGAAGGAGACTGGACAAGCTCAGAAATCTACTGAAAAAGGATCAATATAGGTTCACAGGCTTCTATCCTCAAACAACAAACCTGAATCACCTTCTAGCCAAATTCAACTTCTCACGCAAACTAAACTTTTTAAAAATCATTTTTATTAAACTAACATTTCATTTAAGGTTTGTGGAGATTTATTTAGTTCAGACTAATATTCATCACGAATTGATAGTTGGAGAACTATTACCACTCTAATAGACAAGTAGCTCCAATTAAGTAGCGAAAGGTGTAAGTATTTTGAAAGTACGGAAATGTAACAAGACTGCTTAAAAGGAAAAGGAACAAGTTCTTTTTATACTCTAGTAACATGGGAAGAAGAACTGATGGTACGATTAAAAAGACGGTGCATTGAAGACACATGAACCGGACAATATCATAGCAATAACAGTTTATATCCTGCCAGCTGTAAGCGTCGGCTAGTCAAAACACTTTACAACAGAGCTACAAAATCATGTTCCTATAGACAAGTACATGCAGCTAGACTTGTATCAGTATACAATACCTCATGCTTACTGAACCAGTCAAAATTAGAAAGCTACCCTTCTCATGTTACCTGTAACTGTATTTATGAACTCACAGGCAATCGCGGTAGCAAGTACATTAGAGAAACTAAGAGGAGGGCATCCATTAGGTTCGCTGAGCATGGAAAAAGGAAGTAAAAATTCTAATCAGTGCATTTACCAGACACTTCACAAACACACGAAATCAGATTAAAACCTCAAGTTTCTTTAAAATAATTAACATACAGAAAGTGTCTGGATTACTGTGTTTCACAGAAGCCGTTGTAATAAAACGCTTTCAGACTGACTTTCACCTACAGAAGAAGAGTGTGTTTAATCTCTCACTGTCTTGGTGACTATCATTTGATCCTGTCTCATTTAAACTGCATAACTCTCTATTCATTTTTTTTTACCTCTGTACACTTAGTAATTCTCTTACATTTTACATGGATTACCAGTGATCTTGTAAAACTTAAGACAATTGACTTTGTGATTTTGAAATATCTCGCGTTTTAATAATCACTATGGTTTCAGACTGGATGGATCAGCTGAAGAGGACTTGTGAAGTGAAATGGTGATACCATTTTATTATTGTGCAGATCTTATCTTTCTTACTTGGTCACTATAATTTAGTTTGAAGTGTGTGAAGACCTCCTTTTTTTCAGAGTAGTGTTCATCATGAAATGACATTAACTACTGGACCATTGAATCAATGGTTCTCCAGTTGATGTCAGTCAGTCAGTCAGTGATGTATGTATTGATTCGTCACGGGAAAGCAACTTGTTTCGTGTTGTCTAGTCTTGAGTGCAGACAGAATCCTAGCGATCACATTTGCAATGTGGCGGCCAAGCTAGGTTGGTCAGCATCGCGGTGCATATTAGTAGATGTTAGTTGGATAGAGGCAATTTGTAGGAAGCTCTGCATGTCCTAGGTTTCGTGCTTGTTAGCACTAGTCAGCAAGGTGTATCTGCAAACCCGACGGAACTGATGTTCCGCCTTATCGAGAGGATTCGGTCTACAGTACGGAGTTTTATTATTTATTATTTGTCCCTTGTGTTCTTAGTACAACATAGGGCTTCAGCAGCACGTCGCCATTTCACTGTGTTCTCTGCAATCTTTTCAATTTGGCTCCACGACTGGCCATAAGCTTTCATTTCTTCCTCACACAATCCCCTCTATGTCATCCTCGGATGCTCAAATGGTCGTTTCCCATTTGAGTTCCACTCCACACCCTGGCCTGGTGCATGTTGCCCCCAAACAGTCTTCTTAGTGTATGTCCAATCCAATCCATCTCCCTTTTTTTCTTCTGCATATTTGTTGGGCGATAGCTTCTTGCTTCGCCGGTTGGTTCGTTGCCAGCCAGAGGTTTTCTGCTGCTTATTCGTATTAATCTGACCTGATCTGATCTTCAGTATCAAGTGAGCGTAGGCGGCAGCTCTTGATGATGTTTGTCTGCAGTTTGTTGAGGATGCTTTGCGTAACGCACCAGATCTCTCAACCATCACATGGAATCACTGATTGGACTGAATTAGTGTTGAAAACCTGGATCTTGTTCACATTGTATGCCGAGAGCAGTAGATCTCCACACTGATTTCAGGCTGATAAAGGAAGGCATGTCTTGCTGTGTTTTCAGTCCTGGCTTTGACATCCTCATCTGTGCCGCTGCATGTAATTGAGGCGATGCTTCCTAGATAAGTGAAAGAGAATACTTCCTTTAGACGCATTTGGAACTAGACAAGATGAAACTGGTTGCTCTCTTGTGACCGATCAGTACATGTAACCCAGTCCTAGAAGAGATCAATGGCTGTCCGAATAGCTCGGTGGTAAAGCCACTGATTACAACACTGGGTGATGCGGGTCCCAATCTCAGGTGGGACATCACCTTGCTGACGAGTATCATAAAGCATGAAACCTAAGTCATACAGGACTTCCTGTAAATTTCCTCCAACCAACTAACAACTACTCTACTATAGTTTAGACAAGTAGCTCAAGTTAAGTAATGTAAAATGTATTTTAAAAGTTCTGAAGTCGAACTAGACAGCTGAAAATTAAAGAAAAACACAAGTTCTTTTTACACCTTCATAACATTTCATTGTATTTTTGTAAAACTATTTCTACAATATAGAAAAAGAATTATCACATGATTCATGATTCTTATTAAAAATATACGTTACAGAACTGATTATTAATTGTTCATTTTTATTTTCTAGGATGTTTGATATTCTGAAAGAATTTAGTATTCTCCACACCATCCATATTCATTCTTGATGACTTAATGACGATTATGATGACAAAATTGATGGTAATTGTAATGATAAATAATAAATTAGGTGGATTGACTAAGATTTTGACTTTCTCTTTGATGATTTAGTTACACCCAAACGCTTTCCTATTCCTTTCAATTTAGCTGTTACTTCTTCTTCCATCAAGTTGAAGCACATTGCAAATAATGATAGACCAAGTGCTACATATAAAGCTAGAGCAATCATTTTCTCTTTTGGATTTTGTGAATCAATTTTTGTACCTAGTTAAGAAAAACAATTATAAATTAGCCACTATCCATCATTACTATAATTAAAATACAGGTAATATCAAGACATCCGTAAAGGAGCCCATATACCAATAGAGACAGATCAATTCAGTCCAAGCAGTTATATTAAGACTACACCCGTCGAATAAGAAGCGGTTATCGTAGGTCGGTGGTGTAGTGGATAACACCTTGGCTTTTGAAGCGGTTGGTCCTGAGATGGAATCCCGGTGGGAATAACAACACTTACTGAGGGGCATGTACATCTAGCTGATGAGTCCCAAATAAGACGAAATGCGCACCCTAAATTCTACTACTAGCCACTATCCATCATTACTATAAATTAGAAACTGCTAGGAATTAATTTGTACTGTTCATTTCTTGTTGGGAAGAAGAAAATGAATTGGGGAAACATCTTAACATTTCCTCTGTACATGAGAATAAAATTGAAAGCAAACTACAAGGGTATAGAAAACAGGATTTTGGTGAATTCATAAATATCGGTTGGACTGTTCAAATGAATGCTCTACATACTTCATTATATGTATACCATGATGTAATACAGGGTGGAACGCATAAGCATGCGCATTTGAAACTAGGCTTAGAAACAAAGGTTTTTGACCAGTGTCAAGTATTTTAGCGAAGAGTCACTTTTCGGAGATTTCATTTTCAAAGCTATTCAATAGCAACTTGATACATTTTTCTAGTGTAAGAGTTCGGAGAATGGACCCTTGAAACCAATGATTTAATGTTTTCAACTGTACAAAAGGTACGTGGACGATACTTTTATTATCTGTGATCATCAACATGAATTGAATCGCGTTCTATAAACATTCAATAACTGCCATTTAGCAATTAGATCCACTCTTAAGGTCGAAAATGGATCGAAAATTCACTTTCTTAATGTAGAGCTAACAAGAACAGCTAATGGAATGTTAAATAAATTAATTCACAGAAAACCAATGTAGAATGGTCAGCTGATGAACTTTAATAGCTAGGTCCTTATGAATCGTAAGTGAAACCTAATCATGTCTCTTGCTACTCGCATAAGACGAATCTGTAGTCCAGATGTGTTAGAAGAGGAAATTTCTGTTCTAAAGAACATCCTGATTGATAACGGATTCCCATCAAGCTTCATAGACAAAAACATCAGGCCTAAACCTCTCAAAGAGAACCTTACCATCGTATCAAAAAAGACACTCCAAATGAATCTAAACTTCAAAGTTGGTTATGTCGCTTACATTCTGAAAATGAGGATATCAAGCTTTCTAAGAAGAACATTCTTTGCATCAGTGTTGAGACTAGTATTCTCTTGCCGCCTAACGATTTGTACAAACTCAATGAGAAATTTTCACATCTGACGACTTCTGTGTGCATATATCAATTCACTTGCTCTTGTGCAGCCAGATATATAGGTCGTTCGATGCGATCATTATCCAAAAGGGTTCATGAGCACTATCCCGCGTGGTTACAAAGGAGTGCTATAATTGAACACATCATGAACACGAATCACCTTATCTCAAGAACCGCCTCTTTCAAAGTCGTCCATAAAGTAAAAAGAAACCTTCTAAAGGCTGTACATCTCCGTATTCTCTTCATTTCCGAAGCTCTTGCCATCTATATGCAGAAACCAGAACTGCGCACGTAAAAAAAGATCGTTCAACCCCTTCTACTTTCATGACCTTAGTTTTCAGTCTTTGAATTCTCCTCTAAACCCTCCCACCTTTTCTTTTCATCTTTCTGTTTTGACACTATTTATTTCCTGAGTATTTTGCTACTCATTCTTGTTGCTATACTCTGCCTAAGATGACAATTCAGTTTCCATTTATGTCGTCATGTTGCGAAACTTCTTGTCCAAATTTACTTTTAATAATGTTCACTACTCATCAGTTTTTGATTTTAATGACAGCCCACATGATTGGCACTATTTGTGTTCCCTGCTATGCTTGACAAACCCTTTCTAACTATGAAATCCTCACCATAGAAAAATGTATAGGTTTGCGATTGTGTACAGCTTTGAAAATGAAATCGCCGGAAAGAGACTCTTCGCTGAAATATATCTGTTCTTCTTTCAGTGTCAAGTACACATATGAAAGGGTTGGAAGGGGTATGAAAACTGATTGAGAAATTCTACAGGTTCAGGTTTAAGTACGCCATCATGAATGACGTAATTGATGAGCGGTTAAGGAATGAATATTGGTAATAGATGTACTCACTAAACGGAACAAGTTCGTAAGGAATATAGGAATAAGGCAAGAACAAAAATAATTTAAATTAAGCAAGAACAACAGCTTTAGCAGAGTGGCATGGATCCACTTTATTTCGCCATTTCTCGTAAGCTGCTTACAACCTAGAACAATTTTAACATCAATTTACCTACCTCGATCAGGTGAGTTTGGGGATCTATGGGGATTTAGTGATTTTTCAGGTTGGTATTGATCATGGGGTGACATCAGTGGGCACTGTTGAGGAGTCCCATACTAGGACGAAACAGCTGTCCAGTATTCCCAGGTTTCCAATGTTTCTTCAACTGATGTCAGTCTGTGATGAATACCAACTTGAAAAATGGTCAAAAACCTTTGTATTGCTAAGCCTAGTTTTAAATGGATATACATGTCTCACCTTGTATTACATTGTGGTATACATATCGTCAAGTATGTACAGTATTCATTCATCTGAAGAGTTTGACCGAAATTTATGAATTCATCAAAATCTTGATTTCTATATCTTTGTTACTTGATTGAAGCTCGTTTCAGGATAGAAATATTTTCAACTAAAATCTAGGATAGCATTTTCTTAGTTACATTAGTTAAAAACCAACCGAAGAGCTATTCGGATTAGCTTTCGTTGAAAAACTTAGATGTTATACCTTGTGGACCTCCATCGTTAATTGGCCCGAATCGATCGATCACTTTTGACATATGAGCTACAGCGTGGATGCCTCGAGATTGTTAGTATCTTCAAATTTGTTGATGATGGTGGATAGTGGCTAGGAGTAGAATCCAGGACGAGCATCTTGTTTCTGTTCCAGTCTCAGCGGTAACAATATCACTCATTGGGGAGGCAGATATATCTAGCTGACGAATCCTAAATAGGAAGTAATACTCATCCTGCATTCCACTGTTAGCCACTATTCACCATTATTTTATCAAAAAAGTGTATTCCAGGTAACCTGAAGGCTGTTGAGTCGAAGCCTATCAAAATCTAGGCGGTTTTTCAACTTGACCAGTCATCCGTATACTTCTCCACTTGTTTATGGGCATTTTGCCGTTTGGATAATTTGAAGTTTATTCTTAAATTTTATGGATGATAAGTGAGGTAGGTAACAAAGTATATATCATGTGGTATATTTTGATATGCAGAACAGAATAGTTACTGTATGATGCTGGGAGCCAACTAGAAAGTTGATTTCATACAACATTTCCTGATGATCATTCTCATCAAAACAAGAAGAATGAAATCTACAGAAAAGAAAGCTTTTCATGTTATTTCGAAGCTTTCTTTCAACTGTTGGCTGGATTTGATAAACGGAAAGACGCTGAATGACATTACAACAACTATGAATGTGACAGTAAAGTAGGACGTTTATTTATAAATAGTTGAAAAGAAGATTTTGAAGTATCAACAGATGGTGTACGACGAAAATTTGATTTTAAATAACAAACAGCAGGATACAACATAATAATGGATAAATATTACGCTACAAGACAAGTAAAGAAAGTAGATTTATTGATAGTACTCCCATGACCAATCAGTGTGTTTAACCCAGTCCTGCAGGAGGTCAAACGCTGCCCGAAGAGCTAGGTGATAACATTGCCGAGTACAACACCAGGTGACGCGGGTTTCAATCGCAGGCGAGATATCAATTCCGTTGAAGTTGCAGATACACCTTGCTGATGAGTGCCAACAAGCACGAAACCTAGGTCATGCAAGGCTTCCTGCCAGTTGTCTTCAAACAACTGACAGAAAGTAGATTCCGTTGAAGTCGCTACATTAACAAGATATGGATAGAGGTCGTGTTATATTACGTCAAAGGATTGTTATCAAAACAAGTTCACGCAGGTTGTCTTCTATATGCCGAGATCAGATTCAATTCACTTGATTTCAACTGATTCAGCAAATCGAAGTAGGATTGCAGTTTATTGCTTATCGATTATTTTGAAGGCGATTCACATGTTTAATTCATATCCTTAAGTGATTGAATGTCGATTGATAATACTTTAAGTTATTAAGATGGTTTCAGTCGAACGGCTCTTCAAATTATGTTGATACAAGCGAATACAAGCATATCTTTCTGTCGGATCAGTACACTTGAATATAGTAATGCTACTGAAGATAATATGAGACGAGTAATTATTTACTTTTGACTGAGGAAAAGCACATGTGATGCTATACACAGCAACTCGTTTAGCTGCTGAATAGGTCTAGTACCAGTAACTCTTAAGGTTTTGCTCTCTTTTTCCGAAAGTTCATCTCATTTAAAGCCAATAAAAGAAAACTAGCTGTAGTATTTTACACTTATTGATGAACCAGCGACCATCAGGCCGGTAACCCAGGTGGTTGCTGGTTCGAATCCGACCGCGGTCCAAATTTTCATCTCACCTTTAATCATCACCAAGTATAAAACAGATATTCTTCCAGAAGAGTCGAACCATCATGTAATTTATTTTCACAATACAGGTCTCTTGCTTTATCAATGGCTTAACTATCTGTTATTTGTAATTCAGCAGGTATACTTTATTCTACAAGTTTGGTTCTTCTTGGTAGGATAACAAAGTTTATAATAAGCTGATTAGTACCAGTCTTCCGAAATAAATTCATGATTCAGGTGTAGTATATTCTTTTTCAAGTATTTGAGTAGAGTATTCCTGTGCAAAAAGAAGTGAAAAGTTCACGTTTTTGTATGATTCTAATCTTTAAAGACAGACAGGTTGAACAAATTTTGGACTAACTTAACTAGACCCTAAAGATGGTTTCAACATACTATAATATGGAGG